GGTTTCCCACGCCCTTTCTTTAAAGATGTTCAAAGTTGGGAACTCAGAAAAATACCCTTGATGACCACCTCTGTCTTTGCAGAGTGGGTCCAAAGAATGGCACAGTCAGGAGGTCTGAGAGTGCGGGGGGGGGGCGCGCTTGTGCTACCTTCCCAGCATTTGAGCGATGGCGGCTGGGTCGGGAGCTGGTGTGGTTCTCCTTCCCGCTGTGGATCGGGGCCCAGCCTACCTCCTGGTGCTTGAGCTATCCTTTTTTTTTTTCTTTTTTTTTTGAGATGGGGTCTCACTATATAGTCCAGGCTGGCCTTGAATGTACTATGTAGCCCAGGCTGGCCTTGAACTCACAGTGATTCTCCTGCTTCTGCTTCCCAAGTGCTGGGATTACAGGTGTGTGCCACCACAGCATACATTTCTGCACAAATAAGTAAGAAACAAAGTTGATATGGCTGGAAAGTTTCCTAGCTTCCTCCAGAGATAAGCAAGGATCAGGCTGACCTTGTAGGTAGGGCTTTGAGCTGGTCCAAAGTACTCTCCTTGTGGCTTCCTCCAGTGATTGTACAGCTGGCTCTGGGGTTGTATATGAATATTTTATCCTATAAGTTGTATATGAATATTCTATGCCTATAAGTGTCTGAGGGGATTAGACCTCTCAGGAATTGCTGCAAAGAGAGATGTGCTCATGTCTTGGGGCTCCATAATCCTAATAACTCCTTTGAAGTTAAAGTCCATGGTTGATCATCTTGTTGATTGGAGCAGGTCAAATGGAGGCAGCCTCCACCCAAAGATGCTCCTTGGAGGGTCCTGGATTTATTGCCACCTTGATGTGGCCTAGAGGTGCACCCCTTCCCCCCTCCCTTGGTACCAGGGATCAAATTTGGGACCTTGTGCTTGTGACACAGGTGGCGGCACCACTGAGCTAAATCCCCAGCTCAGGTCCACCCCTGCTGAAAAGCAGCCATGCTTAGCTTGCAAACTGGGTTCTTATAAAAAATGAACACCTGCACTGGGGATTTAGCTCAGTGTCTCCTTGCCTGCCTCACACACAAGGTCCTGAGTTTGATTCCCCGGTACCAAAACAACAACAAACAAAAAACTGAACACCTTGCAAAGTGTGCCACAACACATACCCATCAAACCTGTGACTGATACTATTGTTTTGGGCTGGGTTAACTAAGATTCAACAACTAGCCATGTGAGTGTGTACTTGTAATCCTAGCACTGAGGGAAGCTGAGGCAGGCGGATTGTGACCTCAACTTGCAGTTGATCCCTGCCTGGGCAGCAACTTAGGCAATTTAGAATCTGCCTTAAAAAGGGGGTGGGGTGAGAATGTAGCTCACTGCAAAGGCCATGGGTTCAGTGTTCAATCTCCAGTATACCCCTCCACACACATACATACATGAAGCTGTGTGGAAGGGCCCAACCTGTCCCTCCTGTCAAAAACGGTGCACTCCAGTACAGCAGGTTGCCTGATAGCATTGCTGTTTGTTTATTTTTATTTTATTTTTAGCATTGCCTTTTTGTGGAAGCTGTCCATTTGGGGGGAGTTTGTCCTCCTTCCCAAAATGCAAAGCAAAGCTATCAGTCAGTGAGGTTCTCAGTTTCAGAGGTTCCCTGAAATGCTATGCCCTGCTTCACTAATGTTTGGCTAAGCCAAAGCCAGTGGTGTCCACAGGGCTGCTGTGCTGTTGGGCATCAGTGCCGGCCATGTGGAGTGCAAAGTGGATGTGGATGCTCCACTGGGTAGGCAGAACTCAAAGCTGTTCTCAGAGGTCTGGCCAGTACTCCTGATTGATGCCATTCTGCTGTTACTGACTCATGGGCTTGACAGTGGTCTTGCTATTTGATTGGCCACCTGGAAAAGTACAGTCTGGCAGGTTACAGACTTCCCTCTTTAGGGTCATCAACCATGGAAACAGATCACAACTGCTGATCAAACCATCTCTGTCACTCACACGGGTGCATGTATGAGGGTTCATTCTTTGATGAGTATAGTTGGACTCAGATGTGAGATGAGACTCTACTGCCTGGATCCATGGTGTTGCAGACCCGGCAACGTACCCACCACTGTAGTCTGGGCACCAGGTAAAAGACTGCTCTAGATGAGTTGGCTATGACTGCATGCCAGACCTGTAACTCCTAATAAAGGTTGAACTGTCTACCTCTCCATATGGGAGGCCACAGTGTGCAGGCCCCACCTGAGCTTTGATTCATTGTGGAGGTCCTGGCTTCTTCAGGTTTCATTGTTGTTGTTCCACTCTAATAGCTGACTCTGACCTTCCGATTGTGGCTCTCAAAACTAATTTTAGTCAGATTTTTAGCTGTGTAGCATTTGCTGTTTAACAATGCACTTTGAGGGCTGGGAATTTATCTGAATGGTTCCACTGCCTACCTCACAAGTGCAACGGCCCAAGTTCGATCCCAGGTACCAAAAACAAACAAATAAAAATACACTTTGAGTCAGTGGACTTGCCACACTGCCCACTATCCACAAGTATCTGAGATTGCCAACATTGCCATAGCCTCCTCAAGACACTCAAACTAATCATGTTGAAATTTAACTGCTACTGTGATGGTATTGGAAAGTGGAACCTTCAAGAGGTCCTTAGGAGCTGGGTGTGGCAGCACAGGTCTATAACCCCAGCACTAGGGAGGCTGAGGTAGGAGAGGAAGCTCAGTGTGAGTCTGAGGCCAGCCGGGGCTACATACCAAATCTTGTCTCTCTGCTCCCCCCATCAAAAAACAGAAAACAAGGCAGTTAGTTCACATGGGCTCCACTCTCATGAATGGGTGGATGTCAGGAGTGGTTTTTAAAAGCAATATCTCTCATGTGCATGTTTTTTTACCCTCTCTTGCCATGTGGTGCTCTTGCCATGACAGGACGAAGCAAGAAGCCCCTCATTAGATGCAGGCTCTGAAAACTTGGACTTCCTGAATCCAGAGCTGTGGGAAATCAATTAATTTCCTTCATAAATCATCCAGTCTGTAGTTCTCTCCCTCTCTCTGTTTCTCTCTGTATTCTCTGTAAAGAAATTTTTACTATTCTCTTATAACAGCAGAAAACAGATGGAGATAACATCTATTGCATTTTTCTGGTGCATATATGTTAGTAAGTGTCTGTTTTCTGTTGCTATAACAGAGTATCTGAGACTGTGATTTATAAACGAAAGAGGTTTATTTTGGCTCTTGGTTCTGGAGGTCTAAGAGCATGAGATCAATACCAATTAATACCAGCATCTGTTCTGCAAAAAAAGGAAGGGCAGTGGGCCTGAGTAGTGTGTGAGACTAAGGGAAGGTGCTGGCCTTGCTTCTGTAGAACAATCTAATCTACTCTTGAAAAATCCATTCCTGTGAGAACTGAGCTACATCCCTACCCCTTTACTTTTTTTAAAATTTTGAGATAGAGTCTTGATAAATTGCCTAGGATAGGCTTGAACTTGTGATCCTCTTGCCTCAGCCTGCCAAAATGCTGGGTTCACAGGCATATGGCACCATGCCTGTAACAATCCAGTCTCTTGAGGAAGATAATAATTCTATTCATGAGAACAGTGCTCCATGACCTAATCCCCTCCAAAAGGCCTCACCTCCCAATGCCTCCACATTGGGAATCGACATCAACATGTCACGGGGACAAACTGTCCAAACCACAGCAGTAAGGCACTGTGGTAACTTAATGTTCTCAGGAGAAATTGCTTCCTCTTGACCACTCTCTGAGTATTAATCAGGATAAAAAGGTGAGTTGGCAAGCTGGGCACCCTGGCGAGTCAATGGTGTAGTTCCAGTTCCAACTGGCCTGAGAAGAGACCAGTGATGTAGTTCCAGTCCAAGGGCTGGCAGGCTCAAGACTCAGGAAAAGCAAATGTTTCAGTTTGAGTTTGAAAGCAGGAAAAAGCTGATATTCATAGTCATATATTCTCCCTCCTTCTCTTTGTCCCCCCTCCCGGGGATTATACCCAGACTCCTGTGCATGTTAGGCAAACACTCTACCACTGAGCTACATGCCTTCTTATTTTATTTTGAGAAAGGGACTCACTAAGTTGCCTGATAGTGAGTTTTCTTCGTCTTTCTTTCTTTTTTTCTTTTGTATGGTACTAGGGATTGAACCCAGAGTCTTCACATTGAGCTACATCCCCACCCCCGCTCTTTTTTGAGACATGGTCTCTGTGTAGTCCAGGCTTGCCTCTAATGCACGGTCCTTTTGGCTTAGCCTTCCCAGCCCCACTTCATTCATCCTTATGTCCAATCAATACCAAGATTATATGGAGTCTTCTTTGGTGAAATAAGCAGTATTTGTGATGTATGGATGAATTTAAGATACTGTATAGAGGCTAACTACTCTTACATAAACACAGTATGGAAATCCAAGGAAACCCAGGAATGGGGGGACATACCTGTAATACCAGCTACTCAGGAGGGTAAGGCAGGAAGACTGAGAATTTAAAGTGAGACCTCATTAAAACGAACAAACCAAAACAAAACAAAAAAAAGCTGGTCAGGCGTAGTGGCTCACACCTGTAATTCCAGCTACTCAGGCCTCGGAGACAAGAGGACAGCAAATTTGAAGCCTGAACTTCATAGTGAAACCCTGTCTCAATCAGTGAATGGCTGGGGATGTACTGTACCTCCATGCGGAAGCCCTCGGGTTCAGTCTTTTTCAGGAACACCTACAAGTTGTCTGGGGGCCACTGGGCTACATCTCTAGGGGCCCAGAGGACCAGAAATCAGCATCTGGCCCACATGTGGAGATTTCTGCATGGCGGGGTAAACACAGTCTTCTCTAGAGGCTCAGTAGGGCCTACGAGGACTAGAGCCCAGGTGAGAGGCTGAGACTTGTGTTTAAGGCTGGAGGAGCCAGGCAGCGGGTACAGGCTGGGCTGACCTCCCCAACATTTGTGTGCGGGGCGAGCTGGGCCACCCCGCCCACTCAGGGCCCTCCCCCAGGAGGTGGGAGGTGGGCGGGGCCAGGCAGCCGGAAGTCGTTATTGCCGGCTGGCACGAGGGGGGAACGGGGTCTCCCTGAGAGGGTCATTTGGTGACCGGAGAGGGGAAGGCTTGCAGGAGGGCTGCCGAGAAGCCTGTTAGTGCTTGGGAAATAGTGGGCAGGACCCTGAGCAGAGCTGGTGGTTTGGGAAAAGGCAGTTTTCTCTCACGTGTGAAGAGCGTGGGGTTTGCCTTTAGGGCCTACGCCTCCAGTCAGGCCCCTGGCTGGTCCCCTTGCCCGACAGACCTGAGGGGAAGGTAGGCCCGGCCCTGTGGAACCTCACTTTTTCGGGTAAGTGTGTGCTGACTAAATGTGGAAGTCTGTGAAGGGAGGGCCTTCAGTCTGTAGAAGTGAGGGAAGGGCGGAGAAAGAAGATTCCAGAAATCCTTTGGTGCCCTACATCCTTTTCTTTCTTTGGTACCTAAAATGGAACTCCAGGCCTGGAACTTGCCAGGCAGGCGCTGCGCTGCTGAGCTACATTCCCGGCCCTGGTGGGTGTTACAGCACCTCTCAGGAAAAAATATGACGAATGTTTACATTTTAAAAAATTACAGTAAAAGACACATTGCCATGAGTCCTCCCTAGATACTCCCCTTGGCTTTGAATACACTTTCCCTATCATCTTGACACTTTCTAAAGCAGTTCTGGAAGTGCTTTTGTGTCTTTAGTTACATTATTGTGGCTGCCTTCATGGCCTGAATCGATTTATATTTATTTATTTATTTTGTGGTACAGGGATTGAACTCGGGACCTTGTGCTTACAAGCTTACAAAGCAGATAGTAGAACCACTGAGCTAAATCCCCGGGCTGTGAATCGATTTTAAATGTTCATCTTCCATGGGGAAGATGGGGACTCTGGGGGAGAGGCAGTGTTCACAGGGTTCCAGATCTGGTGTTTGGACAATTTGGTGACTGTTTACAAATTTTATTACAATTAAAAGTCACATTGCCATTACACTTATCCTACTGCTTTTGGCAATGTGTGTGTGTGTGTGAGTGTGTGTGTGTTTAACTGCAATTTTTTTAAAGCCCTTAAGCAAAATTCACTGTACTTTTTGATCACCCCTTTTACCATTAGACAAACTGATTATTCTGGATTCTTGTGGGCTTGTAGAGATGTAAGGGAAGAGTCCAGGCTTACTAAACTAAAAGAGTTTTAGCAGTGAAAGGGGAGAGCTCTGTAGTCTTGCGAAAGGAAACATAGGCAGCGCTTATAGCATAAAAGAGGGTAGATTAATTCAAAACTGCATCCACCTAGGGCTGGGGATTTAGCTCAGTGGTTCTGCCGCCTGCCTCACAAGCACAAGATATCGAGTTCATTCCCTGGTACCAAAACAAACTACCTCCACCTACCTATAAAATTGACTTAGGTGTTGAGTGTTATTTTCTTCATATGCACAGCCTGATTTCTTTGTAGCTAATATACTGCAGACAGGTTTTCAAAAGTTAAAAACAGTTTACTGACTTTTTAGTTAAGAAAGATTTTTTTTTTTTTGGTATCAGGGATCAAATTGAACTCAGGACCTCGTGCTTCCCAGGCACGTGCTGTGCCACTGAGCTAAATCCCCAGTCCTTAAGAAAGATTCTTTACCTGGAGTATGGGCATATTCCTTTTCCCAGCTACTAGGGAGGCTAAAGCAAGAAGATTGTTAAGTTCAACGGCAGTCTAGGAATTTAGGGAGACCCCAGTCTCAAAAATAAAGTAAGGATGGAGGAAGTAGCTCAGTTGTAGAGCTCATGCTTAGCAAGCACAAGGCCCTGGGTTGGATCCTAAGCATCAAAATAAAAAGTAAATATGTTCTTCAAAGAACAGGTCAGGACAATGAGAGGAGCCCTTTAGAATGGGAGTCTTGAAGTTTGTAGGGTTTAAAGCAATTTTGAAGAGGCCTCACAAACCTTAGACTTGAGAGATTGGGGTGAAGGAGAGACTAATCCCTGGTTACCTGCGAGACAGAAGATGTTCAATGAATGGAACCTCAGAGAACCAGAAAATATTGTGAACTCAAGGTAAATAGCTCTGTATCCTGGAGATCTCTGTCCTGCTAGAGTTTGGAATAGTTTTATAGGAAGGACTTGGATATAGATTCAGAGAGGCAGTGAAAGATTAAGGAGATGAGTTTAATGCAGTTATAGTTGGGGGAAAAAGGACTCTGACAAAACACCCATAAGTATTTGTTGACAAGTTAACTATGGACTTGTTTATTAACCAAAATCATCCCCATATATAAAATAACTTCCTTCTACAACAGGTGACTAATTTATAGGGCTCATTCTCTAAGAGGCTATTTGGGAAGAAAGTGTAAGTTTGTGAGGAAATTGGAGGAGGGCTTGGGCCCCTAAGGGATTATAATAGAAGGTGTTTAGATTTTTTCAAGCTCAGATAGGAGCTTTTAAAGTGAATATGTTATAGAAGGCTGATCATATCACTGATAAAGTAACTTTTTTAAATGCTTTGAGAGTTTGTCTTTCTTGAAGGAAAACAAAAATACTTGGAAATCTAAATTTTTTTAATTGCTGGCAGGTAATCAACCAGAATAGATTCAACACTTGGTCTTCTACAGATTTTCGATGGATCCTATCCGCCCATCATTCAGGGCCCCTGCTCCTGCCCACCCATCTCAGTTTGTACGGATGCCAGGCTGTTGGCCACAAGCTCCTAGACCTTTGAATTTATCTCTGGGAAGGGCAGGACCTACAGCCAGAGGCCATATGTTTGGAAAGCCAGAGGTACCTGGCACACAGAATCGGTCAGCACAAAGGGTAAGCACATTTGGTTGGTTGCACAGCAGTAATATACAGCTTGCTTTGTGGTCAAGGGAAGTAACGGATTTCAAAATGCTTAAGAATCTGGGAAGCCTTGTACAAAACCAAGGCATTTTTTTGGTTGTCTCTCACTCTCTTTTTCTTTCTTCTGCAAAACATTTATTGGTACATTTTGATTTTTTAAATTTAAATTTTATTTTTTATTTTTAAAAGTTTTGGCGGGGAGTTACTGGGAGTTAATTTTATTTTTTGGTACCAGGAATTGAACTCAGGACCTTGAATTTGGCAAGAAGGCACAGTGCCACTGAGCTACATCTCTACCCCCCTTTTTGTGGTACATTTTAGATACACATAATGATAACATTCATCATAGGGATTTTTGAACCTGTATTTGATATATCTTGCTTCTTTTTTCTCATTCCCCCTCCATTTAACCCCTCTTCCCCTCCTTATTTACAGAAGCTTTGTTTCCATTTTTTTCTTCTTTTTTTTTCTTGTCCCTCCTTTCCTTTCCCCCTCCCCTATTCCTTGTCCCCCTTCTCATTTGTACATTTTCTTCTCATTTCCCAATATCTATTAAACATTTTGGTCCTTATTTCCACTTTTAGTTCCTCACACCAAAGAAACAGTGTAGTATTTAAATGTATGTTCCAATTTCTCTCACTTAAGAGTGTGTTCTCAAGGTGCGTCCATTTAGCTAGAAATGTCTCAAGGTTATCCTTCTTTATGACAGAGCAGTACTCCATTGAATAAAAAAATCCTCTTCTTTCTTTTTTTTCTAGATTTTTAAAAACCACATCTTTATTCATTCATGGTTTGATGGGCATTTAGGCTGTTTCCAAGATTTAGCTATTATAAACTGTGCCACTATTGGTTTGTTTTCACCAAGTAATTGCATCTTGCCAGGCATGGTGGTGCATACCTGTAATCCCAGCACTAGAGAGGATGAGGCAGGAGGATCACTGTGAATTGGAGGCCAGCCTGGATGGCATAGTGAGTTCAAGGCCAGCTTCAACTACGTAATGAGACTCTGTCTCAAAAACAAAGCAAAACAAAACAAAAAACCCAAGTAATTGCATCTACTAGGCATACAGTTCAAATACTAAAATTGTGACTCTAGAAAAGTATCTCATAATAAACACTAGGTGGACTTGGATAAGTGCTTTAGATCAGTCCTGTAGTTCAGTTTGTCCATCCATTCATCCATCCATAATTGAATAGTTTCAATGGTATGGCCTGTTGTTTTTATCTGAGTGTTCAGCTTTTTACCCTAGTTGGGTTTCATGATATTGGCAGTAGTTCCTACATCTGAGGTAAAATTGTTAGATTTGTTCCTTTCAAAAGCTCTTTGGGGGGAAAAGGAAGTTCTTTGGCCAAATCTTAAAGAAAAAGAGTATCTTTAGCTATTGCTATTACAATAAGAATGTGTGTGTTCTTAATCTCCTGATTAATTTTTATAGTAATAATACACTTGGTATTTCTTTTACTTAGGAGGTACTAAGAACTCTACACTTTAAGAATGTAATTAATTTTTTATTTAGCAAAACATTTGGTACATTTTAGGCATACATAATGATAACACTTGTCATTGAGAGTTTGTGCCTGTACATAATACATCCTGGGGCCGGGGATTTAGCTAGCGGTTCGGTGGCCTGCCTTGCAAGCACAAGGACCTGAGTTCAATCCCTGGTGCCAAAAAAAAAAAAAACTGTAATACATCCCACCTCTTTTTTCCCACTCCCCTCCTTCCCATAAGCCCCCTCCTCTCCCTTTGTTCAAAAGCTTTGTTTCTATTTTTTCCTTCTATTTTCACTTAGCCCTTTTTTCTCTCTCCCTCTTCCCTTGTTCTCCTCATTCAACATTTTCTTCCTATTTTCCAATATTATTATACATTTTAGTCCTCATTTTCACTTTTGGTTCCTCTCACCTGAGAAACAATGTGATATTTAAACATGTGTGTCTAGGGCTGGGGATTTAGCTCAGTGGTTCCGCCACCTGCCTTGCAAGTGTAAGGTCCTGAGTTCGATTCTTGGTACCCCCCCCCAAAAAAAAGAGGGAGAAAGAAACCAGGGCTGGGGATTTAGCTCAGTAGTTCCACCACCTACTTTGGAAGCACAAGGTTCTGAGTTTGATTCCTGGTACCAAAAAACAAACAAACAAACAAAATCCAACAAAGCAAATAAACACGTGTGTCCCATTTATTTCACTGAAGAGTCTGGTGTTAAGGTCCATCTATTTAGCTATAAATGTCTGAAGTGCATCCTTTTTTTTGGAGGCTCATCCTTCTTTATGGCAGAGTAGTATTCCATCCTATAAAGAAAATGTATCTTCTTTGTCCATTCATGGTTTGATCGGTTTTAATGTGAGGGGGTCTGATTTTTTTTATATATTCCTTTTTTTTTTTTTTTTTTTTTTGGTACCAGGTATCAAACTCAGGACCTTGTGCTTGTGAGGCCAGTGGCAGCACCAGTGAGCTAAATCCCTGGCCCTTATATAGTCTAGATAGTAGTCCTTTGATGAGTAGCTGGTAAAATTTTTTTCTCACACTGTGGATTGTCTCTTCACTCTGTTGGGCAGTACTGGGGATTGAATTTAGGGCCTTTATATCAAGATACATCATTAACTCTATAAAATTAAAAAAAAAATTTTTTTGAGATAAGGTCTTGATGAGTTGCCCAAGGTGGTCTTGAAATTGTAGTCCTCCTGTCTCAGCTTCCTACAGTGTTGGGATTATAAGTGTGCACCAGCATACTGTGCCAAATTATGGGCTTTCATAGTTTATAATAGCTATAGCTTAGAAACAGCCCAAACGCCCATCAACCAATGAATGGATACAAATGTGTTTTTATTTAATATGAGGGAGTACTACTCTGCCCTAAAGAAGGATAACCTTGAGACATTTCTAGCTAAATGGATGCATCATGAGAACAAACTCTTTAGGGAGAGAAATTGGACACACATGTTTAAATCCGACATTATTTCTGTGGTGTGAGAAACCAGAGATATAAATAAAGACCAGAATGTATAATAGATATTGGGAAATGGGAAGAAAATGCTCAAATGGGAAGGGGAGCAAAAGGGGGATAGAGGAAAGGAAAGAAGGGATAAGAAGGAAAAAGAACAAAAGGGAAAAATAGAAACAAAGCTTTTGTAAATAAGGAAGGAAAAGGGTTGAAGGGAGGGGAGTGGAATGGGAAAAAAAGAATAAGCAAGATATATCATGTACAGGTTCAAAATCCCTATGATAAATTTTATCATGTATATCTAAAATGTACCAATGAATTTTTTTTCATTGAGCTTATTGGTATTTTTTTAAGTATACAGTACAGTTACATTCATCATTAGGATCTTTACATGACAGGTCTTGCTTCTCATTTTTTCCCCATACCCCTGCCCCCCCTTCCCTATTCCAATAAATGTTTTGCTGAAAAGAAAAAAAAGGGCACTTTTTTTTTTTTTTTTTGAGACAGGGTCTCACTATGGAGTTCTGGCTAGCCTTGAACTCACTATAGCTTGGGCTGGCCTTGAACTTGTGGGGATCCTTCTGCCTCAGCCTTCCAATTGCTGGGATTATAGGTTTGCACCACCATGCCTAGCTTTATGTCATGGACTTCTAACTGTAGCTATACTTAAAAATCTAATAAAGTAGGGATAGGGATGTAGCTCAGTGGCGCCACACCTGCCTGGCAAGTGCAAGGTTCTGAGTTTGATTCTGGGTACAGAAAAAAAGATCTAATAAAGTAATCCATGATTGGATGTTGAAAGAAAGTTCTGGGTTTTTTTTTGCAGTGCTGTACTCTATAATGAGCCTAAAATTTTTTTTGAAATAGTTATATGCCTTTTTAACATTTATGAATTTTGAAGACTGTTTTTTTTTTTTTTGGTTTGTTTTTGTCTTTTGAAACAGGATCTTACTATGTAGTTCAGGCTGGCCTTCAACTCACTGTGTAGCCCAGACTAGCCTCAAAATCATGGCAATCCTCCTGCCTCAGCTTCTCAAGTACTGGGATTATAAGCATGTACCATCAACCTGGTCCTGAAGACTAATTTTAATGTTTACCAAGGTTTCAAAAATGCCATTGTTTCTGGGGTTTTATTTTATCTCTCTTTTCCAAAGAAGAATATTTGTTTGAGAGTAGCAGAACATTACAATGGGAATACATATATCATAATAAACTATTGGCACAGTCAAGGAGATTGAGGCAAAGGGAAGTTTTCAGAAACAAAAATGACAAGGATTTTAGCAGAGCTGGGGTTTTAAACTACATCTTAGAATAACTTTACTTATTGCATTTCTTCAGGAGTGTGTTGGTTTGGTGTCCATGTTCCGAGGTATGGGTCTTGAGACGGTGTCCCAGGCTCCTCTGAAACGAGAAATGCCTTCTTTAGGTACGTGGAAAACAAACTTGAGAATTGTGATGTGTATAGGTACTTGGTCCTTAAATCTTTAAGTTTATATTTAGAAAAGTAACTACTATGAAACGAGTTTGGCTCACAGTTATAGCTGAGGTTTGGTTCTTTCAGGTAGAGGCATTTTAGGTCGAGGCTTATCGGCTAACATGGTTCACAAGGAGAAAGAAGAACACCATCCTGCTTTTCCTGATCCTCTGGTATTGGCAGCTGGGGATAGCAAGCTAGCAGAGGCCTCTGTTGGTTGGAATAAGTAAGTCAAGTCCCCTTCCCATGCAACCATCAAGCCTAGGTGGAAAGAGAAGTTGTGGCAGGGGCGTGTTACCATGCAAGCAAGGGTTTCCAGTAAACATTTTCCAGTTCCAGGAGCGGCTAGCTGCCACTGATTGAGGCAATCACTGGGAAAGGGTGATAAGTACTCCACCGGGCCATTCACAAGTTCATTTGCCCCCTTACCCCTTAGTAAGTGTCCCTGATTGAAGAGGCTCTTTAACCTGGTGAGTCATATTCCCTTCAACTCTGCTTGGGAAGATGGCTCTAAGAATTAATATCAGTAGCCATTGTGAATGTCATGAATCTGAGAGAATCCCAAAGTTGTGGCTTTGGCTGACTCCTTCAGAAAGGGAATCCATGCATGCCAGTAATCCCAGCACTTAGGAAGCTGAGATAGGATTCCTGCACATTTAAGGAGACCTGGGGTACATAGTAAGTTGAAGACCAACTATATAGTGAGACCCTGTGTCACAAAACAGAAGAAGAAGGGGCCAGGGATTTATTAGCTCAGTGGTGCCACCACCTGCCTTGCTAGCTAGCACATGATCCTGAGTTGATCCCCACTACCCCCGCCCCCCAAATTCAGGCTTGGGAGAAGATGAAGTGTATATAAACAGTATGACTAGAAAAGTTCTGACTTGCCTCTCTTTGTACCATTTCAGAGTTCTTGGAAGAGGGAGTTCAGATGCCTCTTCATTACCTCTGGGAAGAATAGCTGGTGGCATAGGCAGAGGAGTAGACAAATCTCTCTGGGCACCTGGCCTACCTGCCTGGGACCTCCAGCAGCTGTCAGCACCAACGCCTCTGCCCGGGTCCTTGCTGAACTCTCCAGATCAACCCCCTGGCCCAACTGTGGAACACACGGAGAAGTAAGTCAGGAGCACTGCCTGCTCTGCAGAGGGATGTCAAAGGGGCAGGAGGGGCCTCTGCTTCTCTGTGGCTAGGCTGATGTGTAATACTGTGAACACTGGCTGTGGGATCCAAAGTCTCCTTGGGTGATAGGGAGGGTGCAGGGTGGTTGTTTTGTTTTGTTTTGTTTTGTTTGTTTGAGACAGGGTCTCATTGTGTAGTTCAGGCTGGCTTTAGGGACTCACTATGTAGCCCAGGCTGGCCTCAAACTCATGGTAATCCTTCTGCCTCAACTTCTCAAGTGTTGGGATTACAGCCATGCACTACCACATAAAAGATAAAAGAAGATTTATCTTCTTTTCATCAAAGTTTGATTTTGTGCATCTTGGTACTTGGTTTGTGTAAAGTGTAAAAAATATTACTTCCCCCAGTCTTATTTTTAATGTTTTTGCAAGTTGGCTTAAGAAATTTTCCTGCTGTAGCTCCCTGGGACTCCAGGTACAAAGCATTACACTCAGCTGATGCTTTTGTTTTTTTAATTTTTATTTTCCAGAGAGTGTTTTGTGAAGCAAGGATCAAAAGGAACACCTCAATCTTTGGGACTGAATCTCATCAAAATACAGTGTCATAATGAAGCAGTTTATCAATATCATGTTACTTTCAGGTAATTACAGCTTTTCTGTTCACTTTTCAGAGGACAGGAATGATATATTTCCCCTAGAATGACTGATTACTGTTCTGCATAATTCATAGTAAACTTCTTCAAGCAGTTATCCTTGTGCTCAGATCCTGGCCAGAACATGTGTGTGTATTTGTTTGGTTTTGGTTTTGGTTTTAGCTTTTTGCTTTTGCTTTTTGTTTTTTGATTCAGGGTCTTACTATTGAGTTCAGGCTGATCTTGAACTCACTCTGTAGCCATGCTTGGCCTCAAACTTGCTGTAGTCCTCCTACCTCAGCCTCCAGAGTGCTGGGAATACAGGTGTGCACCACCACACCTGACTATAAGGTTAATGTTTTTATATGCATGTTTTTAGCTGTATTACCAGTTCAGGCTGGGTGTGGTGGTGTGGCCTGTAATCCCAGCACTTGGGAGGCTGAGGCAGGAGTATCGCTGTGAGTTCGAGACCAGCCTGGGCTACAGAGTGAGTTCCAGCTCAATCTCAACTACATAGTGAGTCCCTGTCTCAAAAACAAACAAACAAACAAAAAAACCAATTCAGAGTTTAACTTAATAGATACAGGTTTATACATGAAACTAGAAGTACATTTAATGTAAAATTAATGAAGTTTAAGTTCAAGGCCTCTTGTTTGCTTGAGTCCCTTACATGGCTTTTTTACTTAGTTTGGGTGTATAAATTTATATTCTTAATCTCCCTCATAGTAGGAAACATCCATATCCCACAAAACTGGGATACTTCCCTACCTGTGTCATTGTAATCAAAGTTTACATCTCTGCAGTGACAGTTTACCGTTAAATTTGAGGGTGGTTTATTATACCATTGATTGATTGATTGATTTTTTTTTTTTTTGAGACAAGTAGTCGGGTCTTGAACTAGCTATGTAGTCCAGCCTGGCTTCAAACTCATAGCAGTCCCTTTGCCTTAGCCTCCTGAATGCTGAGATTATAGGCATGCACCAAATGCATTTGGCTATTACACCTTTTTTTTTTTTTGGTACCCTAGATCGAATTTGGGACCTTGCACGGCAGGTGGTGGCACCACTGAGCTAAATCCCAGCCCAAAACATAGCATTTTTTAACTGCGGTCACCAGGGTGTACAGTAGATCACTAAAGCTTATTACTTTCATTTAATTGAAATTTCATACCCTCTAATACCAATGTCCCCTTTCCCCACTCCCACCAACCTCTAGTAACCACCATGTTATTCTCTATGAGTTCAACTTTCTCAGATTCCCCTTATAAGTGAATCATACAGTATTTATCTTTCTGCGCCTGAGTTACTTCACCTAGTCTAAATTCCTGTAAGTTACCTATGTTGTCACAAATGGTAGAAAATTCCTTCTTTCTAAAGGATGTATAGTATAGTATTTCACTCTGTGTGTATACATACAACACATTTTCTTTATCCATTTATCCGTCAATGGATGTCTTGTCTACTGTGAATAGTCCTGAAGTAAATATTGGAATGCTGATCTTAACATTGATTTTAGTTACTTTGAATATATACCTATACATGAGATTGTCAGATCATGCAGTAATTTTGTTTCTAGTTTTTTGAAGAACCTCCATACTATTTTTCAAAATGGCTATACTAGAAAATCTGAGTTTTAGAAGACCAGCTACTAATTGATGCTACAGAAGGAAGAAGTGGAGTGAAAGAGAAAGGAACAATTCAGAGGAAGATACCCTGAAAACATGTTATAAAGACCAAGGGAAGAACCATTTGGATGAGGAGAGAGTGGTTGACTTTGGCCATAGGAAAAGATGTTACTGGATTTACTTTCGAAGATATCTTTGGTGTTCAGTGTGAATATTCAGTCATGAAGTTAGGCTAGGGTCTTCTCCCACAGCAATGAGGCTGGTGAGCCTGTGTCCTGGGGGCCGGCCCACTAGGTGACTTTTTGACAAGTTGCTGCTCTCCATAGGGATGCTTATGCTGTCAGCCACACAAGTCTACACCACCTTGACTATCCAGCACTTTGCATTCTTAAACTTACTACCTGTAGAAGCAGACATTTTATCATATAATTTTGAAAATGCATCTCAGACATTTGATGATCTTCCAGCTATATTTAGTTATAGACTTCCAGCTGAGGTTTAAAGGGTTTTTTGATTAATTCAAAATCAGAGATTGCCTGTGAACCCATAGTGACTCCACCAGTAAAAGACAATTCATCTGGCACTTGCATCATGTTAATTAGAAGACTTGATTATAATTTTGATATAAAGGTTTTAAATGCACAGAGAGTGGGATACAAAGCAGCTACTATTCATAGTTTTTCATTATGAGAACCTCATCAGCACGGGACCAGTGACATTGATGTGTTAAAGAAAATTGACATTTCATCTGTATTGGTAAATCATCAGCTAATTCCCTGGAAGACAAATTCACATATGAAAAAGGGGCCTACATTATCCTAGATCTAGAATTTAATCTTCCTTTGGAATACTGTCTAATCTCCTTCCTTATTATAGTGGGCATCTGTCTCATCTAATAGTCATTTTTATATGCACACAATTTTTCCACTACAGACACAGAGCTAGAAAAAAATAGACCTGATAAGGATCAATTTAAGAAATTCCCTGTACATAAATTTAAGAAAGGAGATGAGTATGATGTATATGACATTTGTTTGGATGAATATGAAGATGGAGACAAACTCAGAATCCTTCCCTGTTCCCATTCTAATCACTGCAAGTGTGTAGACCCCTGGCTAACTAAAACCAAGAAAACCTATCCAGTCTGCAAGCAAAAAATACTGCTTCTCAGGGTGATTCTGACTCTGACACAGATAGTAGTCAAGAAGAAAATGAACTGTCAGAGCGTACCCCTTTGTTTAGACCTTTAGCTTCTGCCAGTGCACAGTCGTTTGGGGCTTTGTGAGAGTCCCACTCACATTAGAACATGACAGAACCTTCATACTCTTGAGGATAATCACCATGAAGAGAGTGACGGCACTGAGGCAGAGAATGAATGAAGCCAGTGTTGGGGTCCAGTTGTAGTCTAATGGTGAGCAGGACTGCACCTTAGCAAATCTGTGTGACTTTCAGAAGGTGATTGGTTGATTTCCTTTAAAACATTTATTTAGGTATATAATTTGATTTTTTACTCCTTTTAGAGATTTTGGTAGAAATAACTTATTTTTTAGCGTTTTGTTTAATCAGATTACCAAAACAGGCTTTTATCTGGCGCTTATCTGTAGGTCTATACTTGATTTTATTAATAAGTAATAACAGATTGGTGCTTTAACTCAGCACCGAGGATGAAACATAGCCAAAATATATCAATATAGTTTGTGATTAAGACTTAGATCACAGGGCCAGGGATTTAGCTCAGTGGTGCCACCGCCTGCCTTGCAAGTGCAAGGTCCTGTGTTTGATTCCCGGTACCAAAAAAAAAAAAAGAGAAGACTTAGATCCCAAGTATGCAAATGTTTTGTGTTTCACATGTGAAATTGTGTCGTGGCCGTCTAGCATGAGCTAAAGCCAATGCCCAGACCTCCCTAAAATCCCCTAAGAATGAATTGGAATACTTTCTGGTATTTCCCCAAGTTGCCATCATTTGTGAGAAGCCAAAGGTATTTTACCATTTCTCCTCCTATCAGCACCACATTGAAAACTCAAAGGTATCTTTTTCATTTCTGTTCCCAATCAGTCTTATCATGATAGGAAAGGTCTGTAACTAGTGCAGATTTCAAAAGTCTTTTAATACTATAGTGTGAATATAATTCAACAGGTAATGTCTTTGGACTTATCAGATTTCAGTATTTTTAAGGGTTTTGTTTTGTGTCAGAGCGAAAAGAAAATGCTGAATAAAAATACTCAATTTCAGCAACTGTTAATACTAAGATCATATACCTCTTTAATAAAGAGCATCTTATGCTAATTAGCCCTGCTCACCTATGTATAGAGGAAACTGTTCAAGTGTTGGATTTGAAAATAAGTGCTATGTTTAACAGATCGAATTATTGAAATGATGTATTATGCAAAGCTATATTATACACTATTGTAACTATGTAGACATTATAGAAATAAATAATCAAACTGCTAATAATTTTTATATGGCCCTTATATGAGGGGCATTTGAATATTAACACAATTTTCCACTTTATGAACTAGTAAATGTTCTCCTGTACTGTTACTACATAGCTTTATATGCAGACTTCTGCAAAGGTATGACTGAGGTAAGATAAATACATACCACCTCAGAATTTTATACAAAATAACTACTCACAAGATTTAGGTTACCTATGGAAAAAGCCTACAAAAATCAAAAAACAAGATTGTAGCTAAAATTATTCCAAAAATAAAGAGCATGTGTTATGATAAAACAGCAACAAGAAGAACAAAGATGCCTTTAGTGATTGTCTAGTATCTCTAAAAGATTAAAGGAATCAGGAAGAACATAGCCCAGGAGAAATAGCAAGTGAATCAAGTACTCTTATTTATTTATTTGTTTGTTTGTTTGTTTATTTATTTATTTACTGAGACAGGTTCTCACTGTGTAGTTGAGACTGACCTGGAACTCACTCATAGCGATCCTCCTGCCTCAGCCTCCTGAGTGCTGGGATTACAGGCGTTCACCACCATGCCTGGCCTCAAGTACTCATTTTAGAAATTTTAAAGATTTTTTAGGAGTAGGAAAATTTATTGGGGAACAGGAATAGTTCCTGAGGGACAGGAGGAGGTCCCAAGTGGGTTCCCCTAGAGGTTTTTAAGATTGAGAAAGGAATGCTAACTAAGGACTTTACTGTAAGTATGAAAGGAGAGCTGACACATATTGCAAGGAAAAACCCAAAAAAAAAAAAAAAGGATGAAGTACAGCCCCTGGATGTTGGCCTGTTGTGGAATATAAGTAAGGAGAATACAAGAGATGAGTGTTACAGAAGGGAGGCTAGGCATGGTGGCACATGCTTATAATCCCAGCACTTGGGAGGCTGAGGTAGGAGGATTCCAAGTTTGAAACCAGCCTGGGTTACATTTTGAGTACTGATGTGACAGTATAAGTGGAAAATTTCTGACCATGAAACTTGTTTCATGCACAAATTATTAAAAATACTGTATAAAATACCTTCAGCTATATGTATAAAGTATGTATCATTCATAAATGAATTTCCTGTTTAGATTTGGGTCCCATTCCCAAGATACTATGTATATGAAAATATTCATATAAGAAGTCTGAAGAGCCAGGCATGGTGGCGCACACCTGTAATCCCAGCACTCGGGAGGCTGAGGCAGGAGGATTGCTGTGATTTTGAGACCAGCCTGGGCTACATAGTGAG